CTTCATACCTAATGGTGAAATCTGCCGAATTGGGTTACAACTGATCTATGCAGACACCTGTAAGACTTATAAATACATAAGAAGATTCTGTTTGCATGTCAGAGGAGAAAAAATTCTGAAAAATTTTTTTTTCAATGCATAACTTTATTTACATCCACAATATAAACATATTCGTGTGTATGTACCGCATATAACGTGTTTTATATTTAAAATACAAACAATATATATGTACATACATATAAAGGTCTGCGATTGGTAGCCATTGTGTTGCATATTGAAGCGTGATTTGAACTTATCGAAGTGTATAGTTTTAAAAGTTTAAAAAATCACTCATTTATCAGGGTTTGGAGTAACTTAATAGAATCATTTTGCGTCCAGTTTAGTTTCCCTAAATAAATTTTTGCAAAGTCATTGCTTGTGTCCAGTCTAATGTAGGTACAGAATATATAGATATTTGTGCAATGTTTATTGTTCTATTGATTTTCTTTTTTTTCAGGTAAATGAACAAATCCGAGGGGACCGGTATCCTAGCGAGGTGTTAGCCAGGTCATTCTACAGTCACCCAGCGGCCAGCGCTTTTGTCACACCAAAGGAGAATGTCTACTATGGTATGTCTTACGACGAATTACAGCAACAACGACTGCAGAACCAACGAGAAGCTGAGCTCAACACGGCGTACCAGCCGCCTCCAGGGAACCAAACGCCTCAGCAGCAGAACCAACAGGAGGATAAGCTCAATTATCAGGCGTACCAGATGCCTCCACAGAACCAGACACTGCTGCAGCAGAATCAACAAGAGGCTGAGGTGAATTACCCAGCGTACCCGATGCCTTTGCAGAGTCAGACGTCACTCCAGTGGAATGAAAGCTACGTCATCAGCACTGTTGTTAACGGCGATAAGTCGCCGTCATTTAACGTCAGGCACGATCGGCAGGTGTCCAATGACGAGGTCTTTGAGCCATCCTACTACGGGAACGGAGATGGCCGGAGATCTCCGACATTGTCCGAATCGTCTCATTCGTCCTCTACATCTGTGACCATCCGACGCAACGACAGGCCCTCCATGGAGTCTATAATGAGAGAGCTAACGGCCAAGGTAAGTATTTCACGAGAGGATGGTGAACCCGATTCTACCAGTGCCACGTCGATTATGCGGTCAGACAGACCATCTAACGCATCGTCAGTTTCCACGTCACCAACTCGACTCAGCGGCGGAGCAAATTTCAGACAAGAAGATGGAATCAGCGTTAGGAGCTCAACCGGAAGTAATCATAGCGGCCAGGATAGCATTGACCTCAATTCTTCCTTCTCTTCCCAAGGCCGTCTGATGGCTTCTACATCCTCCTTGGAGAGGTCAGACCGACCAAGCTTGACGTCATCTATGGACGGGAGGGAGAGGTCGGAGTTGACCGTCGTGTTAGGTCAATCAAAGGTGGCTCACTGTACAGTGGTTCCGATTGACCCAAGTCGTTATCTTCCTAAAAATGAAACAAGAAGAATGGACAGACCATCACAATACCCATAATGATATAAAAAAACACAATGCAGTTGGAAGTAATGCGGCATTTGTCTACCTTTAATCTCCATCTATGATATCGTGCAGATTTATTGCCTAGGAGGGATATTAGTTATTTCATAATATGAATGCGCAAAATATATGATATAGTAAGGCTTATCACTAAAGTTTTTAACAATGAAAAAAACTAACCATAAAAACAGCAATGACAATTTTAAGAAATATGTCCAAAATAATCTTCTAAACATTAAAACGTCATTATATTAAAAAAAATATATACACAACTATAAAAATATCATTATCAAAGTTATTCTTTTTAAATTAAAGAGCAATAATCATTTTGTGTTCCAGTCACAACTTTTGTCTATTACGTCCCTTGTATGTACATAAAACTAGTTCTAAACTTTACAATAGCGTATTTTATAATTATCCTTTAAATATGAACAGAGATATCTATAAATAATTCTACAAATGAGATATTTATGTGAAAGTTTATTTTCAGGAAGTTAGGAAGCATTTAACTTTTTTTTTTTTTGACATGTGTTTGAACACGTGACTGAGGCGTAACACCTGACTGAGGCGTAATAATATACATTGGAGGAACGATAGGAACTTTGAATTAAGAAAAGATGTGTATATAGACATAATCTACTGTCTATCGCAACAACTTTTTTATTTTAGAATATCTGTAATGTTCTTGCTCTGATGTGTATTGTGATTAGAGATACTGCATTGATTTGTTTATTATTACAATTTATTGATGTAAGAATCATATCCCTATACGCAGATGTAGAAAGATGTGAAAGAATTAGAATATCAATTTTAAATATCTACATTTTATTTTACAACTAGCACATATGAATACATACATACATATATATACATATATACATAGGCGTACACACATTCGTACATACACACATAGGGCCACATAAATACTTTCATACATGCACATATTCACACATATTATGATGTGCTAGAGGCCTAGTGGACTGTATAGAAGTAGTCATAATCATTCCACAGCTGCGCTGGGTCGAACACTTCCCTGCGCGGAAGAAGACCAAAGCTGATCTTTTTTTTGGCGAGCTTCAATCAGGACGGCGTAACAGAGGTGCCCCCCCCCCCCCCCCCCCCGGAAGCGCTGTAATCGTGAACTCATGAGCTCCCCAACGGTTTAGAGGAAGGTAGCTCTGGCAGCAGTTGGCCTCTGAAAGAGATTATTATTATTATAGCTTTTTTATAGCGCTACTTTCATGCTTAAAGCATGCTCAGAGCGCTTTGTGGAGTGGGGGGGGGGGGGGGGAGTATCTAGGAGTTGGTTTTCCATGCTGCCTTTAGGCGCTCAGTAAACACAACTCTGCCCGAGTCGGGTGTCGAACCTCGAGCCCCATTCTAGGTAGGCAAGACAAGCCAGACACTATCCCAGCGATAGTGGTAGAGATAGTGGTAGAGAACTCATGAAGGACACGGGATACAAATTTGAAGATAATCAAAGATAATCCCATGCGGAAGACAGGCGCAGGAGACGAATAAATAACTTAAATAGACTTCCCCCCGTCGGACAATGACTTGGTCACTTTGTCTGCAATAGATGTGACGATATCGGCATGTCACAAATGGGTTCTCGTAGTCATGTGACATTGGGCATAATCAAATCTTCATTGCATGTATTGCATGCTTTGGTCTTCTCCCGCGCGGGATAAGTTTTCGACCCATTGCATGGCATGTATGCATCCTTTGTGTGAAGCTGTAAGAGGAGGGGCCATCTAGGTTAATGTTTACGTTCTGCCATGGGCGTCTAACACACCCCAGCATGAGTTGGGATTTGAACTCAATCTCCCTTTGATGGGCAGCCTAGCGGTTTATCCCACTCAGCCTTACATATATTGAAAAAAACAACAACAACAAAATAATGCCCGAGAGTATCGTGACGACAATGCTGACTACTCGACCAGGCGGCCATTCTTCTGTCAGACATCCATCTTAAATTTGCATAATATCTTCATAATTCCAACCTGACAATGACTCATGGGATAGTTCTGGCGTTTCAGTGCCAAACTTTTTTTTTACACTGTTTTCGTGACACAGGAAAAAGTTCTTCTTTTTAAATCTTGACTACTCAATATATTATTTATATATTATTTATATTATGTTTATATATTATTTTTGAATTGATTAACTATATCTTTCACTGCAATTTGGAATCGAAAGAGCGCTATCAATTTATTTTAAAACATATCTTGTTGATATTTCATTTTTTTTTTCAAATTTCAAATCCTTTTCACAGGAGTAGAATTGAATAAGATTATGTGTAACTGGAGCACAACTGCTGATATGGGACATGATTAACATGTACAACTTGTATCATTTGACTTTTCCAGTCTAACCAAATCATGACCATACATTACTATAGTACTATTTATTTTTTCATATATGTACCTATATATTTATTCAAACGTTTAAACTCGTCTTCCTATATCTATGCCTTAAACCCATTGTCAGAAAGCAGTAGGGCAATAAAAACAAAATTGAGAGCCACAATGGGTTTCTCAGGGCCCAAAAGACTCTTTTTTTAGATTGTTATAATTGACACATATTTATAATTATCGGAAACAAATTCGTAATATCATTAAATAAAAACATTTATAAATTCAACTCTACAATGCCAAAAATACAACAAACTCAGTGATGATCAAACTACGGCCCGCGGGCAATATCCGACCCGTGACTTGGTGCCATCTGGCCATTCGAAACTTGGACTAAAAGAAGCCGCAAAGGCTCAGTCCTACTGGCCTCGGACATATTTTGACCCGTGACTCTTCTGTTATATATTCTATGCCCCACAGATGAAAATAGGTTAGGGGCAGCATCGACATAGAAATACTTTACAGCAGTTTTAGACCTGATACATTGATCAAGGGTGAGAATAAGGTTTGGGAATATAATGACAGTAATAAATGAAAAAAACAAGAATTGAACCATTTCTGCTTCCAAGACAATCAGCATAATCGTCAAGCGAATCATACGATAACTACATTTGTTCAACATTTTGTTTTGCAAGATGTAGATCTAGGTGTAGATGAAGATTCTATTTGCTAATAAAATTAGAAAAACTTTTAACTCTGTAGTTACCCAAGTGTCGAATAATTGTCTGACCAAAATGCTTGTTATATAAAATTAGTTAAAGAAATACAAAAATAAAGAAGTTGCCTCTCTACGAGCCCATTCAAAGTAGCATGGCCATTATGACTTATTGCTATCTAGGTCAGGTTCAGACAAAATTCATTTTAAAGAATGTAATGCAAGGTACAGATGCTAGACTCTACTTAGCTATTTGTATATAAAACCATAAACATATACAAGAATGTTACTCATTTAAATAATATATATATAAAAAATGATAGTTTAATATACACCACTTACAGATATTTTCATATTTATATCATGACTTTTTAAAAATCTAGACTTATTTTGGAAATTATTTGGGGGGGGGGGGGAAGTTTATTTAAGAACGTCAGGAGACTTGGATGAAAAATGATCGTAACTGGGTTAAGAAAAATCTAAAGGGTTTAAACACCTTATAAGTTAACATTAAAATAAGTGAAACCATTCCTTTTCTCTATTAAAAAGAAACATTTTTGTTTAGAAATTCATTGTGAAGGCATGGTTAAATCAGAATTTAGAATCTCATATGGATCCCAAAACGTTTGTAAAATGAATTGACCTTATTAAAATACATACTATAAACAATTCCGACTGTATGTTTTGAACAAAAGACCGCAACTGCTTTCAAAAGAATGTTGCTGCTAATAATAAAATATAAATATTATGATTTATTTGTTTCTTTTGTGTTTCTTTATAAATGCTTAATATGTTGATTTTGTTTTCAATGTGAAGTGTTTATTTTTTATGAAGGTTAGAATACTTCGATATATATCAATTCCCTCTGTTTGGTACAAATTTCGAACACGTTATTTCTCCCATTTCTATTCTCGGATCAAGTTAAAACTTTGCACAAGTATTCCTTGTCCCATATAAAGCATGAGTCATTGAAAATTAACCTATTAGTAAATTAAATAGTGGTTATAAAGTAATTAATACAATCACTTCTTATGCAGAATACCCACGCGCGGAGCAGAAGTGTTCTTAAAGACTTCTTCACTTATCCCTTAGGCTGTTGAACCGTTGGAGCACCACTCATGATCTGCGGACCATCTTTCTCCATTCCTCTATTGTCTTTTGCCTTGAATAGAATCTCTTTCAATACCAGCCCCGTCCATTCTTCGATGTTATCTTCCCATCGCTTTCTCTGCCTACCTCCTTTTCTTTTTCATGATACAGTTCCCTGAAGGAATGTCTTTGAGAGCCCTGAGAATCTCGGCCAGACTATATCAACACCACTCGTTTACCAAGAAATACAAAAAGGCCAAAGATACCTGTGTGTAGTCACGCAATGAACTCTTTAAGTTGTATCTGATCTATTTACGTGAATATTTCTGTTGTGTTGTCTTTATATGAGAAAAGAGTCCTTGTAATTACAACAAATTTCCATAAGGATCAATAAAGCAGTCTTCTGTAACATCTCAATTCCATTGCTAGGATTCTTCTGTAACATCTTATCTTATCTTATATAATACAGACGTTACTTCAAAAAAGAAGATGATTACGTCCTACGCGTCATGCATTTAGTCATGCATATTAACCAATGACTTAAATTCTGCCAAGTCACTGGTTTTCCTGGCTAGCTCAGGCAACCCATTCCATGCTCTAATAGCACTAGGGAAGAAGGAGTATTTGTACAAATTTGTCCTAGCATATGGGATGAGGAATGTGCCTTTATCTGTGTGTCTTTCAGAGTATTTTATTACATTTTGTTTTTGTATTTGAAGATTATGGTTCAGTGTTTTATGTATAATTGCTACTTTACTTTTGAGTCTTCTGTCCTGAAGGCTTTCTAAATTTAGTGATTTTACTAAAGGTGTTATTCTAGTCAAATGTGAATATTCGTTTGTTATGAATCTCACTGCTCTATTTTGTGTCTGTTCAAGTTTCTTAATGTTTTCTTGAGTTGAGCGGTCCCAAACGGAGGATTCATATTCTATTATTGGCCTAACCAAGGATAAATAACATTTTAGTTTTATGTTCTTATTTGATTTATAGAAATTTCTTTTAATATATCCTAATGCTTTGTTTGATTTTTTTTATAGTTTCATCAATATGTGGATTCCATGACAGTTTTTCATTTATTATAACACCAAGGTATTTTGAGTTTTTAGTCTGTGTTACTGGTTTGCCATGAATAAGATAAGTGGAATTAATTTGTTTTAGTTTTTTTGTTACTCTTACCAACAGACATTTTTCTGGGTGGAAAGACATGCTCCAATTTGATTCCCATTTCTGTAATTTATCTAATTCTCTTTGTAAAATATCTGTGTCTTGTGTTGTTTTTATTGTTCTATATATTATGCAATCATCTGCAAATAATCTAACTTTTGTTCCTGAAGTAATGCAATTTGGTAAATCATTTATGTAAATTAAAAATAGTAGTGGACCCAAGACTGTTCCTTGAGGTACACCTGAGTTTACTGTTATCGGTGTTGATTTAGAGCCATTTATTATTACAGTTCGTTCTCTCCCTATCAGAAAATCTTTAATCCACTGATGCAGTGGACCATTAATGCCGAAATATTTTAATTTTTTAAGCAAACTATGGTGGTGAACTTTGTCAAAAGCCTTAGAAAAATTTAGTAAGATAGCATCTATTATCTTCACTATTATCTAAACCTTTTGAAAAATCATCAATTAGTCCTATTAGTTGTGTTTCACATGATCTATATTTCCTAAAGCCATGTTGGTGTGGGGTGAAGACATTATGTTTGTCTAAGTGGTTTATGATGTTGCTACATATTATGTGTTCCAGGATTTTACATGTGATGCTGGTAAGTGATACTGGTCTGTAGTTTCCTGGGTCAGATTTTTCTCCTTTTTTACATAGGGGGGTGACATTAGCTTCTTTCCAGTCCTTTGGTACTCTGCCCTGGTTAAGCGATGCCTGAAAGAGTATTTTGAACACTGGGGCTAGCTCATTGCTTAGTTCTTTGAGTAATCTAGCTGGAATACCATCATGTCCAGACGCTTTATTTGGTTTGGTGTTGGCTAATAGCTTTTGAATTCCATTTTCTTGTACTACTATATCTTCTATGTTGTCTACTTGGTTCAAATGAAGTAATATGTCTTTGTCTCCTGGGGCTGAGAATGCTGATGCAAAGTATTTGTTTAGGATGTTTGCTTTAGTTTCATTATCATTATGTATTACGTTATGTTCATCTTTTAATGGCACTATGTCAGTTGTTTCCATTTTCTTAGACTTAATGTATGACCATAGGTTTTTGTTGTTATCATTAGATATTACATTGTTTATTTTGTTTACTCTGCAGCTGTCTGTTTACTTTTTGGGTTAAGTGTTTAATTTTTATATACTTTTTGTAAACTCTTTCTGCCTTAGTTTCTTTAAATTTTCTATATAGGTTTTCCTTCTGTTTACAAAGCTTCTTTAGTCTATTATTAAACCAGCATTTATTTATTTTGTTCAATTTGCATTTAGTTGGTATAAGATTTTCTATAATGCTTTTAAGATGGTTTTTAATGAAATTCCAGAGATCATCGACTGGTTGGTTAATGTCTTTTTCTAATAAGAATGTTTGTTGAAAGTTTAATGCAGCTTGGTGTAGTTGTGTTAGGTTACATTTATTCCAGAGTAAGATTTTTCAATTCCATTGCTAGGATCCTTCTGTAACATATCAATTCATTCCATTGCTATGATCCTTCTGTAACATCTCAGTTCCATTGCTAGGATCCTTCTGTAACATCTCAATTTCATTGCTAGGATCCTTCTGTAACATCTCAATTTCATTGCTAGGATCCTTCTGTAACATCTCAATTCCATTGCTAGGATCCTTCTGTAACATCTCAATTCCATTGCTAGGATCCTTCTGTAACATCTCAATTCCATTGCTAGGATCCTTCTGTAACATCTCAATTCCATTGCTAGTATCCGCCTCTCTAGTTCTGCAGTCAGCGTCCAAGATTCACAAGCATATAAAAATGTCCCCATGATTAGTCTTATTGTGGTGTCAAGAGCTATTCCTTTGTCTTTCCAAATTGTTTTGAGCTTTGCAAGTGCTGATGTGGACTGTGCAATTCTAGCCAGTAGTTCAGATTAAGTTCTTTCTTTGAGAATTATGATACTTAATACATCAAGAAATGCAGATTGTAATAGAGTGCTTCCAACATGCATGAACTAACAAAAAAACAACAAAACAACAACAAACAAAAATCAAGAAGTTTTTTTTTTTACCTGTCAACTAATCGCCTTTATACTTAATGTATGTCACTTTAAAACGCACTCATTGAGCACACTAGTACTGTGCGAGCGACGCACTCATTGAGCACACTAGTAAGGTGCGAGTAACGATTTCATTAACAACTCAGTTATATTTGAGAAACAGCATTTTAAGTTGTTTTTTTTTTTAAATTTCTTTCCACAGTGCACAATTTTTTTTACATAAAAAAAAGCTGTAAGGAAAAAATGTGTATGTAAACATTTTTTAAAATAAAAAATGATTATCATCGTAGGACGTAATCATCTTCTTTTTTGAAGTAACGTCTGTATTATATAAGATACAACAGATGTTACAATCAGAGGATATATATATATATATATATATATATATATAAATACATTGCAGTGAAATACTTTGATTATCATACAGAAAATCATTCAGTGAACGTAAGAATATGGCGAAATTACAATAAAAAATAGATACAAAAGTTGAACAATAACAATCATGTGTATGTAAATATTTTCGTTCTGAGATTAAATTGCCGCGGTGACCACAATATAGATAACCACGAATAATTTACAGAGTGGCTGAATGAATACAGAATAATATAAAATTTATGCTATTTTCAGTATTAAAAAATAAATAAATAGGGGCCTACCATAAAAAAAAATATTTAAAATACAGATATAAGCGGCCCGTTTCTAACAAACGAAGAGGGGTAACTGCAAATGTGCACATGCGTGCCCTTTAATTAATTATTTATATTAATTATACATTAATTATATGTTAATTATATGTTAGATTATATGTTAGATTATGTTAAAAGATGGAAATGGAAGTAAACTCAGTAAAGTCTCATCTTTTTCTCTTTGATTCCATCCACTTTTAATGCACACAATAAGCACTATACCCGTGACTGAACGCTTAAAGATCATAGCAATAAACTTTTCATTTAAATTTAAGCAATGTAAAATAGAGTTGACACATATCCATCACGCTGGAGTATATTATTACTGAATTATATTACAGCTCATGTTCTACTGATTGAATTCTTCAAAGTACTAGATCTACCACCGCACGAAAGCAGCAAGACTTACTGAGATGTTCCTACGGGGCACAGAAACAGAAGGAATGCTGGCTAATTGAATGATGGGAAGACGCCAAGGAATTCACGCCCTCTCCAAGAATGCAAACGCAAGTAATAGAGAGAGATGAGTTAAGAGAACAGATCAACTTCTCTCGCCTCATCGAGCCAAGCGAGACCAGTCGTCAAAGAAGGCCTGAACACTGACCCTGCAACGTCGCAACCTGTGGTCAGTGGAGACCAATAGCTCGTCACAGGTCTGTACGACATGGCAACGAGTCATTGTTTCCCGCTGTCGCTGGTCAGTGTTGATGTCTTCTCTAAAGAATGGTCTTGATTCAAGACATCCTGGGTACATAGTTCTTCTATAATCGATTTTTAGTTTTAATAAGTAAAGGCCCTCGTC